TATTTGTATTTACAGAAAATCCTAAATATGAACAACATTTATTCAAAAGAGTAACACAAAAGTCGATTTCTTGTCTATATTAAGCCATTATTTAAATAAGGATTATTACTATTCTTATTTCAAAAAAGTTATAAGATACAAATAGCAGTAGAATGAAAACAATTATATGACTATTGATAATAATATTTTTTTAAATAAATATTATTTTTAAAATCTTGAAGTTAAGAACTTTGAATTAGAATTGGAATGAAAACAATTATATTAGACTATTTAGAAATTTTTAAATTAAGTTCAATTCAATAAAGATAAATTACATTTCTGACGGCCTCGGTGGTATAGCAGTTTAGCACAGCGCCTTACTTTCTATGCTCTCGGGTTCGGTTCCTTGCACGGCATAAACATTTGTATTCATAAGTATGATTATTTGAATCGGTCTGGGTATTTTCTATGTATTTACGAAAAAATCGTATTTATAACAGTTAACATAACACAAGCTTTAGTTAGCTTAACTTAGGTCTAGATGGCGCTGTGTGAATTGTTCTGAGATTACTGTTATTATTTCTATGAATTGTCTAATATCTACCCATAGTATATACGTACAGATTATATCACACGCAAACTATATACACACCTAGACGATAGGTGTATCGTACAATTGACGTGTGCAAGTGGTAGGTATTCAGAACACAGGGACCTATTAGCTGTATAATGTGTAGTGTTCCGTTGCATCAGCTCCCCTCTGCATACTTTACTCTTTGTGGAAGCCGCCTTTAAGTGATTCAATCTGCAGTGCACTAACCTTGTTCTTAAACTAACTGATGCTGTGAGTGACTCAGGCAGGGGATCGGTACTAATGCGGACTCATGGCCGAATTGCTGACAGCGTACCATCTCGTGCCCTCCTCCGCGCGATACTTTAAATATCTTGGTCAATTTCTAGTGAATTCACTAGCGTCCCGGGACCTTGCATCACTAACTTGAATGCTTTCTAGCTTTTCTATCTCAGTATTCTTTTTTCTAATTACACCCTGGCAGTATATACCGTCAGTAGATACAGGCCGAATAAGCATTGCATAAGGTTTTACAATATGCCAGTAATATAATTAACTGCCAGAGAAAATGTTTAATCTGCCAGAAAAAAGCTTTCTTTGTAAAAAAAAGCTAATTATAAAATTGAAGATTTATAAATGATGACAATGTTTTTGTAGAAAAAAATGTAATTTAAAATTAATAGCGCTGACAATAATATTTTATTGCATAAATATTGAGTAGTACGTAGTTTCTACATTGATTGTCGCATGCCTAATCTTTGTTGTAATAAGTAAATCCTATTATACTCATTTACAACATAAAACAACTTTCTTTAAAAGAGCAACACACAAGTTACTTGCTTATTATTCTTGAGAAGACTTTGTGTTCACTGTGTGAATAAAAAAATGTGATTAATCAAAAGTGCTTATATTGAATTTATTTGAATAAAGAGTTTTTCTATATCATTCCATTCTAGTAATCCGTTAGCAATAAAAAAAGATATCTTTAACACAGATATTTTTAAAAATATTCAAATCAACTGCCTTGCTCGCTGAAATCAGTAAAAATTATAAATGTGGTTTGACGATTATTATTATATACTAGAGGTCCGGCCGGCTTCGCTCTGTAAGGACCAAAAATTATAGAGATTCGTAATTTAAACGTAATTCTAAAGTGGCGAAGGTTAAAAATAAATAGTACCTTGTTATTGTGATAGAAATGTAACAGTCAGACATATGGTATCGCGGATATTTTTGTACATATAGATGTCCTTTAGGACACTGCAGAACATGACTCTGTTCTATTGTCAATAATTATCGCAGCGTACAGGATATAAGGATTTTTTTTTATTTTTCACGCGTTACATAATCAAGATATCCTTACGAATCTCTAACATTTTTGAAAATATTCTTACACCTATGTAAATACTACCTATATACCTAGCCTACCTAATAATAATACCTATGTAAATGCAAAAGAATTTATTAAACCAGTTCAAGCTTATTCAAAGAAAATTGAAAAACAAACAAACGCTCTGAAACAAATGAATGCGTTCTACTCGAAATAAATGGAATACAAATGAATAGTACAACATCCTTACTAATACTATAAATGCGAAAGTTACTCTGTCTGTCTGTCTCGACAAACCAATTTAAGTGAACTTGAGTACATCGATAGGCTATACTCTGAGAAAGGACATAGCCTACTTTTTAAAGGGAATAAACGTTTGAAAGGCATTTAAAGGAGAGATGAAAGTTTGTATTTAAATATCGTCATATTTAAAGCCAGAAGCTGGAAACTTATATTTTAGGCAGTAGATTAATTAATATAAATAAAAAAAACTAAGTTGTAAGGGGTTGAAAGGGGAGATGTAACATTGTATGGAAGCATCGTCATTTTTAAAAGTAGAAGCTTGAAACTTATATTTCGGCAGTAGATGAAATATAAATAAAGAAAAAAGGGTTGTAAGGGGTTGAAAGGGGAGATGAATGATTGTATGAAAGTATCCTTATTTTTAAGGCTAGAAGATAGAAGCGTTTTTTTAGGCTGTTGATTAAATATGAATAATTACGACAGTACTTCATAAACTTCAAATAGTTTTAAATACGGAATAATAATTACATAGTGTAAACCCAAAGAAAAAAATAGTTTCAATTAGTTGCAGAGTATAGGTAAATTAATATCGTGGTGTGGTAACCTGTTTGTTTACATTTTTGTCTCGAATTTCATCTCCGACTACGGATGTTTATAATGTAGTGCATAAACTTAAAATATACCTCGCCCTAGTTTATCTACAAATCTGCTAATTGTGCCAATTCGAATCGTTGTACTCCTGCTGTGGTAGACTTTGTAATAAGTTGTTCGCGTCCTCAGTCCTATTTCTGCCGCCAAGCAGCTAGCTTTGAAAGCTGCATATCGATTGAAAGATGGAGGTAAGTCAATAAAATTAAATACTATTTCATTTTAATTCAAATTAGAGGATATAGAGGTATGGCATCTTAGTCGCCCGCAATGGCAACGCATACGGGGTGCTGCGGGCGTCATAAGATGACATAATTTCTATAGTGCTCTTTATGCATTATAAGCTGCTTCTTCGAGTATGGTAAGTGGTAATCGTATAATGCCGAAACATTGGTGGTTCCATTCTTAGCAATGTGGTAGTGAAAATGCTAGTGTCTATGTGCGATCAAACTCCACGCTTCCAACTCAATTGAACATCAGTTCAATTAGCCTATTGCATACATGAATATTCTCATTCTAACATCCACCATACGGTCGCCATTTTGTTTAGGAATGCTGTCGAGCACTATTTTCTAGAGACACCCATTATATTTCACTAAATGAATGTATTTTTTAATTATAAATATTTAAAATACTAATTAGAATTTGATTTGAATATTTTTTCGAATTTCGAATTACGATCAGCCCAGACGTGAAAAGATAGGTAACATGATGGATATGGATTAAGTTCCATGCATAGTAACGCCTCTACCGGTAGAAATTGTAAAAAACAAAATTTTCGATAAAAATTGTCATGTAATTGTGTGTAGTAAGCAGGGCCGTCTTTCGCCTATTAGAAGCCGCGGGCACATTAGAATATTGGGGCCCCTGTGACCATAATAATAAAGCACTATTTTGTTAGAATAGACAAAGTTATTTTTGACCATGACTCTTTAGAGATGCATATGAGGATGCCCTACCTTCAAAACAAACCAGGCAAAAATAATTTTAGAAAGTCGTTATGTGATGAAGGGTTCTAGTTCTTGCTCCACATTTATAAAAGATTAAGAAAACGAACAAATTCACCAATGTCGGTAAGCATTTGTTAAGACTGAATTTTAGGTGAGAGTAGTTATCTAGCTCTATCTAGTTAGCTTTCGATTATCATTTGGTAAGGGAATAGGGACTAGACTAGACTAGGGGGGGCTTAATCCATCGCGGGGCCCTGGACACGTGCCCAGTGTGAAAGAGGCCCCGTAGAGGGGCCTGGTAGTAAGTACCTTATATAAAATTTAATACGTATACATAAAGTATACTGTAACTAGCGATCCGCCCCGGTTTCGGATGGGTGTAATGATGATACTAAATTACCTACCTAAATGTCTTTATAAACAACATTTACTGCTTTTTGTTATTAGATAATTCAAAGATGTTTTGTTTAGAGATTGCTTTTGAAAGAGCAACATAGTAAAGTAACTTTGAAAGTTAGACCCTGCGATCCCTGCATTTTAAGTCTATAAAATTCTCGGAAATATTCATTTAAATTACATACTGTAAAGGGCCATATTGATCTACATTAAAGGGACAATGTATTTAAGGTACTTAATTGGATAAAAATTAATGCTGTGTTGCTTAAAATCACTTCGAAGCCATTTTTAACTTTGTGGGTTATCCTTAAGAGAAAAACATTCATACAAAAAAGTTCATGATGTTATGGACTTTTTTGTTGACCTTTTTAAGATGTACCATACTGCAATACATTATTTTGATTTATCTCATGGGGTTCAGCCAACGCTTATAATATGAGCGCAAAAAATAAGTTTATTTTCGATATTTATTTATTTAATGTTTCTCTACAATATTATGCATATATTATACATATAAACCTTCCTCTTGGATCATTCTATGTAATAAAAAAGCCGCTTCAAAATCCGTTGTGTACTTTTAAAGATTTAAACATACATAGGGACGGACAGACAGCTACAAAAACTTTGTTTTATACTATATACTCTATATGATAAATAATAACTATATTAGCCACAGACTTTCGACATAACAGACAGATTGACATTTGAAATAATTCTAACGTCAACGTCACGTGTCATCGTAAGACGTCGTTTTTGGCTGTATGTATACAAATCCTTTTGCCTTTCCTTTAAAACTAAAAAAAAGCGGTCGTCGTTTTATGCGCGGATTCCAGGAATATTTACCACGCAGCAGCACCAGTCTTTTTGATCTATGAACAACACGCTTAGCAAATGTCCCTCATACCATTTTGTAATATAATTCAATTTCCGCGTCTACCATTTATTCTTACTTTAAAAGTTATTGGTCTCAAGAACTGTTGTTTTTAAAATAGTGCATAGGAAAATCATTGCATTGTGATGATTTGGTATTAAGTGAGACGCATCAAATGCAAGTGCAACATCTTTTCAATGGAATTTCGCAGCAGCCTGCCGAAGACGCGTTAGACCAGAAACACAGCTTAATGTCCTCTAAGGTGATGGAAACCCGTTACTACGAAGGGTGCGGACGTGAAGGCCCGATTCGGTGCATATTTTTAGGGGAATTTCACCCCATCGCTGGACCTAAAATCTCATGTCAGGTTAGTTAACATTTTTCGCTGTTACTCACTGCTAATATTTGTTATCAAATCCTAAAAAGACTAAACGTTTTTATTATAAATTTATAAACTAGTGATAAATAATCCTAAGCTAGTATAAATGCGAAACTTTATTTGGATGTAATGTGGTTGATAAAAACTATTTGATAGATTTCAATGTAACTGTACAATAATATAGTTTATATATCAGAATAAGTCATAGCCTGTAATTTAAAAACATTTTGTGTATGGGCTATATATAAATTTATTTTTTCATGTGATTAGAATGACAAACTAACTTATGGCTCACCTTAAGTTAAGCAGTTGTCTATGTACATGAACAGCACTATGCACAACAGATTATCACATCAGAGAGAATTATTAGTTTTTATACTAAAGTAATTTGTAAAAAAAAGTAGCAATAGATTTCTCAAAAAATATTACTGTGTAAATAGTGGCGATGAGATTGATAGTGGAAATTAAAAATGAAGTGATTACTGTCCAACTAAATACCTGAATAACAATAATGCCATAAAATTTAACAAGTTTGATATAGCATATGGCTTTAGGCTAGATATTCTTTTTCCATCAAGCTAGTAAAATTGTGGAAGATATTAAGAAAAAGCAAATTAATTGGTTGTATGTGGCCCTCAATTGACAGCCTTAGAGGTCTAGCTGCATAGAACACCACTTTCGGGTTCGATTCCTCACATAGTGCATGCAAACATTTGTATTCATTGTCTGTATAAGTCTGTATGTTTTCTGTGAATATTATGTATTCCAATACAAGTTTATGTCAGTCATCTAGTACCCATACCCAGAGTTGTTTATTTATTTATTTATTATCTTTGAATATCTCTATTCTAAAATAAGTGATAAGCCTTTTATTTTAATTTCTGGTGAAAATTATTATAGTCATTTTTAAAAGTTGATAATTGGTCAAAGTTTTTGGTGGTCTAGGTACCACCTGAATAGTAATTAAGGTGATGAATTGATTTAATGATTTATTGTATTTTCAGTTTCCTGAAGATTACATATCCAAGGAAGTATTTGACTCAATCAGCGCATATATCATTCCCAAACCACAAATACAGAAATGCACTATGACAATGTAAGTTTAAATATAATTATGTGGAACCAATAACATATAGACAGTCAGAAAGCACTCAGGGTATCTGTATGTCATTGGTGTAATGTTTACCTATATTCTTCACTCCATGACATGGCCAGAATGACACCTAATAGGGAGAAGTGACAAGCTGTCATAAGGTGGATGACATCTTCCTCTCACTACAATACATAATGGCTGTTCTGTCAAGAGTGTAAGAAGAACATACTTATGATTTGTCACATGTAAGAAGATACTAATGTGTTTATTGGGTGGTTTTATGAATAATAATAAATATGAAATTATAAATAACAATTGTAATGTAACATAATGTTTTTATAGATTGCCACAATAACTGTGTTGTCAACAATTAATTGTATAATTAATTAATACACCACACTACAATAATATGTTATTTTCACAGAAATGCCCTTGGTCACAAAATAGTTGGCTACCCAATCAGAATAGATAACTCTCGTTATGAGCGCAATGTTTACCTGTTCAACTTGTGCTTTGTATGTGATAGTTGGTCAAAGACTGTACAGTATGAGCCCGTTGTTAAGAAGCTAGGAGAACACTTGGTAAGTTACTCTAAAGTGTATTATTTTATACTTGCTATAAGTTTCTTGCTATGACTGCATACATAGGTGAATTCTTATAAATATATCCAATTTATCCTACATTAGGATGGTTATATTCTGTTGTACAAACATAATTCCATTCTATAATGGATTATCCAACACAAAGAATTTTAATTAGTGTTTTAGGGTAGTGTGTACCACCAAACAAGCTAAGTTTTATAATATATTAGTATATATTTAGCCATTTCACATAATTCCTTTGCTTACTACTAGACTAGAGGAGCTAAACATGATAGATAGATAATTTAATTGCTGGAACCTGTTTTGTTTACAAGGAACAATTGTTGGCCATATAATCAGAAGGCATGCAAATTACAATTTTACTTGACATAAAAATATTAAGTGTTATGTTAATTAATTTTCGCAAAGACTAATAACATTTCTTGTAATCAGTTTAGATATTAGCGTAGTGTATATTGCAAGGCAACCTACTAATAATAATACACTTACAGACTATAATGGAGGAAGAGACAAGATTTGTGTCAAGTGGTTGCACTAAGCTACCTACTTTGCTGGCTCACCTTCTACATGACCTCAACACGCACCGTAAAGCTACATTAGTAGGTAAGTGTCACACGTCATAATTGCACTGTCATATTGTTACACATCTGCATCTATTATAGTTGTGTATATATTTATATCAAAAAAGGGAAGGAAAAAGAAAAAGAACCCTAAAAAATCTCATAAATATATGGGATAAGTTAATTGAAATATATATAGTTAGTTTTAGAAACCAACCCCAAGATGCTGTCAACCCCATTACCTGGAGTCGATCTGTTCTCTGTTATCCAAGATGGTGTAGTCAGGGGCATTGTCAATTAATGTTGTTGTGAATGCAAAATTGACATACCCACATTTAGCATGGTCCATATTGAATTTGATGTGGTGCGTGAGCCCCCCTCTCTCAGATAAATTTTATGGTTTTATATAGATGCTTTAGGAATCATTGAAAAATAAATTATCACAGTAAGTCTATTTTTGATATGCCAGATTTTTTAATGAAATGGTTCTTTGCTAACTAGGAGCATGATAAGATGAACACGAGGTCAGATCAGTTAGACTATTGTGGCAAATTCACCAGAAGTTCATCACAATGGTATCCAGGTATACCGGAACCCACATGAATGTCAACCTAATATTCCATATTACCCGTAATTCCCATTAGGCCAGATTTGACCTCACAAGGAAAGAGAATATTAATAAAGTATGGAGTTTGAAATATATTTTCTTTATGAATTTATTTCTTTACTTTAGGTTAGGTTTCCACTAGTTCTATGTACTGTTTCAAATTGTGACATATAAGGTCAAAATAGTTTATAGAGATATGAGAATGTTGATAGCTATAGAGTTCCAGACTATGTCAGACAGGTAAATGTAGCAATTATCCTACGCAATACCATACCATACGCTCGTCTGTGCGGGAGGTCTGTGTCTTTGTTTTTTTTTATAATCCAATTAAATCTTTATTTAAATAAACTTAATATAAGCATTTTTGATTGTCAATTTTTTTTGTATTTTTATTCTACACTCATTCAGAATACTGAGTCGTCACAAGAAGTATCATCAAGAGAAACTTAGGTTTTGCTCTTTTTAATAAATGTTATAAAACTCAATGTCTATTCAATACAAATAAATGTAATTTAAGAGCCTGTAAATCCATATTAACAGCTTTTCACTAAATAAAAAATGTCTGTCTGCTTGTTCCTGCTGACTTCTGAAATGGCTCGACAATTTTAATGGATCTTTCACTCAAAGATAGCTAATTTTATAAGGAGTAACTTGGGCGACTTTTATTTTACAAATTTTATTTATTTTAATAAATAGAAGTAACTTCATCGCTAATCAAGTTGCAGTTAGTATAACACCTAGTCTAGATATATAGACGTTACAATGTCTACCGACGACCTCTGCTGATTAGCGTTATTGTAAATTATTGTAAATTATTAATATGATAAAAAAGTCATTCCCTTGTTCAACAATATTTTTAATGTCTCTATGTGTATTAAATAAGGATTGTTTTCGCATGTATGCATGCACACATCTGCATATGTAGATGTAAATTATGTGTTACATTTCCGTTGTTTATTCAAATAATCTCACGAACTAAGCTATTTAATGTGAGTGCAAGTACATAAGCTAACAAGGTTGATTTTATAAATCAAACAATGCAGTTCGTTGTATTATAAAATAAATTAATGTCATTAATTATCGTAATGTCTGTTGTTTGTTTTTTCTTTCATTCATATATCATTTTGTTATCACAAGTTATATTTATGTATAATGTGCGCCCTTCATGCTACAATCAGTAATTGTCTTTACTAATGCTAAGTGCATACAATATTAATATTATTAGATAATTATAATGTTAACTCTTAATTGGTATACCTATCATCTACTGAGATATAATGTTGCATCGATCGATGTCTGGATAAATTATGCGTGTTTAAATTACTCGAATTAAGCAATCATTTACTCGTATAGAACATTTTGTCTATTTATTAGAATTGAATTTAGTTTCTTGTTTTAATTTAAATGGCTTCCATCAAATGAGGTCGGTGAAAATTTAGTTTATCTGTATTCGGAAACAAATGTCACTGTCAATGTCATGTATTGAGTCAAACGTCTGAGGTCGCTAAACAGTATTCCCGTCTCCCGTCTGGGCTGCGTCCTCTGACGGGAAAAAGAGAACTAAAAAAAAAGTATTCCTGTCAATTCCTGTATGCAAAATGGAAATAGGGTGTCTTCACATCCAAAAAATATACAACACCAAATATGGCACCAATTCTTAAGCTAGTAAGTTTTATACCTATATTTGTGAAAGTTGTGCATTGGAAATAGTTTTATCCTTATTATTATTGAGTTAATATTAAGAAGAATTCTTGCCTGAAGAGGCCGGTAACCTAGACCACCAGACACACCCATAAAGAGGGTGTGTCTATATTGTAACAAGTGTAAATTGTAGATATTCAAGTCAAATGCAATAAGTTTTCTTCAGTAATTCTATGAACGCTATTCTTCCTGAGTTCCATATAAATGTAAATATCGATCGACGCTGTCGTGGTGGACAGGAACAAAGAAAAATTGACTCATAATTTTTTATGGCACGTGGTACGACAAATAGGTACAGATTAAAGTTTAATTTTACTTTGAATGAAGTAAAGAAAGCTTCTGTGAATTCCGATTGTGCAGCAGATATATACCTATAAAAGATTTTTTCAATTGATATTGCAATAGACATTTCTGAAACAGTTATGTGAATATTACAGAAACAATGAATAGTATATAAAGCTTCTTTCCATACAAAGTATGCATTGATTGATTTGAATAGATTCTACCAATTAAAAATGTGTTGTGTGATATCTTTGTTATAAAGAAAAGTGTATCTATGAAGATAGGTCTAATGCAATTTCATTAGCTAAATATAGGAAATTTTAAGTACTTTTATTCAAAAGTACTTAAAATTTCCAAATATAAATAAAATAGTAATAAGTATTCACTTATTACTATAATTACTTAGTATTTTATACATTTTAAGTATACTAGACTTATGATATTATTTTTTGCATGATTATATATTTTTTATACACCATTGAATGATACAGGCACCTGCACTAATGATTAAACTGCTGGTTTCCAATGCAGGGTGAGGTCAGGTCCGTTAGCCAAATCTAGAGAAACTGCATGGAGGTCAACCTGATACATACATACATACATATATACATAGCTAGCAATGGGATTATTAGTTTTTATAACTAACAATCCCTTTCCCCCTTTCTCTGTCTATCGGAAAAGAAAAAGATGATATGTTTAGTGCATTTAACAATGTAGGTATATATATCAATGTTGATATTACACCAATGTACACATATGAATACCAAAACTCTTTCCTTATGTTTTACTAATGGGGTATTAGAATACACTTTCTTCTATTAGACAGTTTCACTACCAACCAGTCCCTAATAATTTGGTATATGTACTTATTGTGTATATGCATCATGTATGTCTCCTATTAAGGGTAGACAGATAAAGTGCAACATTATCTTATCATATTCAAACAGATCTCTATACTTATAACAGGTTGTTCTTTCACAGCATTTATGTAGGTCCATTAGTGGTGTTATATCTATTTATTGTCACTTAATACATCAAATGCAAATAATTTATCTTACTAAATTACCTTTCAAGTAGCACTACAAAGTACACTACACTATGCTAATACAAAGAGTATTAGCATAAATTCTTTTTATAACTTTTGATTTTAATAATAATATAGATCATGTACCTGTTGCCAACAGAGGGTGATACAGTGATGCACCTGAAAGTGCTTGAGGTACGTAAAGATCCAAGCCCAGTCAACGATCACGACGTGCCGGTGCTGGTGGCGTCTGTGGGGCTGCCGCGCCCCGGACGCCCGCAGAGGACCACGCCACCGGAGGGCGCCGAAGTACCTCACCGCGAGCACCTCGATCTCGACCTGGACGACGAGGAGCCCTTTGAAGTGGACTTGGACGCTGACTGGGATCTCACTACCAGACAAGTTAGTTTACTATAGTGCAGTAGTACTAGATATATGGCCGACTTGAACCTAAGACAAATTAATAAACAGACTTGTTTCAATTATACCTTGTAAAAGCAATTTCTCATGACTCTTTGTGAAAGTAATTTAAAACAACATAATTTAAATCTTACAATAGAGTTTATATGGTATGATGATAAGACAACCCCATGTTTTTTGTCATAGTCATAAATATTAAGTGTATATGTATCTAATTAACAACACAAAGAAATATTTTAGGTGGCAATGCCTGGTTAGGGTAGTAAATGAAATCATATAATTTATTTGTTTTTGTTATGAGTATTATAAATCAATAATGTTTTCAGCTATTACCATACATCAACGGGTACAACCACGTATCAAAAATAGCCGCTGACACGAATGTAGAGAAAACTCTGGTCAAGTCCTGTATTCAGAATTTACTCTACTATGGTGTGGTGAGTGTGATCACTATACTTAATACACCTACATAATTCTTCAATACATGTGGCCAGCAAATCTCATAGTTAAACATAATATTAATACATGAAACATAAAAAACTTTGAACTCTAGAGGAGAGAGAAACGAAATTTTAGAGAGTTATAGAATGGGAGTGCAGAATTCTAATATTTTGTTTCTAACTAGCTGTTCCTGCGATTTCGTCCGCGGTACCATTATTTTGGTGTGTGCTCGGTATTTATATTCATATACATGTAGTAAAAACGGTTATTTCAAGATTACAAGCAGACCCTCCAATTTTATTCATATGTATGGATAATGCATATATTATATAAAAATTACTCGACTCGAAATTGACTCGCATATAAGTCTTTGATAATAGAACCTTAATTATGGTCAAAATTATTTAAATTAATTATTGTAGTGTTTTTACTTGCATTAGTGTAGTGAAATATATTACAGTATGTAAAATTTTCTAGGTGACTCTGATACCGGTGCTGAAGTTCAGCAACATGTATAGGGCGACGCCCAGCCTCAGCCGACTATTTAGCGATCATGAGTTACAGAAGTCCTGTCTCGCATTCATCACTATGGGCTATGAAAATAAAGAGAAGGTATGCACATACACAATAGAGTATATAAAAAGACTGTGATGTACAATGTATGTAGTGTTGTAAATGGATTAAGTTTCTGATATGAGTTACTACATACTAGTTGTGACTGGATGTGCAGTTAAATAGATGAGCTTTATATATAGTAAAATATTACTTATACTATCTCTAATTTGCAAAGTATGAGCATGACACTGACTAGTCTGTTTTTAAATAAATATAATTTTTTTACTCTTCTTGATTTTATATTTTATGATTTACTATATATAAAGCTCATCTATTTAACTACACACTATGTTTGCGTGTGTACACATAGTAATATTATGTCGTTTCTGGTATCGCCACATTACTATGTTATCGGTTTAGTTATTTCTGTTCTATTCTATTAAAAATAAAACACTCCTAAAGATGGTATAACTTAGATTGTATTGCGGTGTGTGAGGGAGGGAGGGGGGCGTTTGGAGTAACTTGAGTGTAATGTTTGTGTAGTCCAAGTCAATTTTTAAATGGATGATAATAGTAATGTGCACCTGCCTGCGCAATACGCTAACGGTATACGGTGGTAGTGCATCAGTGGAGGACGTTAAGAAGAGCACGAAGTAAAGGTTAGCTTAGCGTGACAAATTCACAAGGAATTTATTATTATGGTTTCCAGGGGGAACCGCGTGTATGTCTACCTGATGTAGTACATTGCTAGCAATAGGGTCATCTATCCATATTACTAAGCATCTCTTTCCCCTATGTAGCCCAAGTTGTCAGACGTGTTGGGGATACTGTGCGCGCTGCAGCAGGGAACTACCCTGCGGGCAGTCAGCGAGCGGTTCTGCAACACTGTACCTGCAACCTTGGATATACGACGCCTAGTGGTGTTTGCACAGATGCATGGCCTTATTAAATGTCTTAAACGGTAATCACCTTTTTATATTTATTTATTTATTACTAGAAATCCGCCCTCGGTTCTCACGGAGTAAGATGGATGTACTCTAAAATGGCAGCTGTTTATATTTTAAGTTGGATGTCTCCAGCAATAATACAGTAGTTTTACGTAATATGTGTACAAATAATACAGACAGTCATGAATTCTAAAAACTGTTGTTTATGTTAAGAAACATGAATATGTAAATAGTAAAAGTAAGCTTGAAGATACTGATTAATATCAGTATCTTTTATCTTATCAGAAATGTATTTTGCTGTTCTTTGACCATCTGAATATTTAGAGAAGATTGTGTGCTTGTGTAGGTACTATACATATTTAATTGAATTGAATTTATACTTTTACATATATCTTTTTTATCTTGTGCTGGGATCTCTTTGCAAGTATAGTTAATTGTGATAAGAAGATCCTGCTCTTCTAGGGTTGGTCACAATCTTATGCACCACTAATTTCGAAAACGGCTGTTCTGTTCTGGTTAAGGCCACTGATTAGACTATTTCCTTTTGACAAAATTGCAATGGCATATGCTCTTATTCACTTTATTCTCTCTAATTTAAATTTAAAATTGAATTGGTATTTTGTAGACATGTACAAGCTCATTTGAAAAAAATAAGAGCTGAGTTTCTTGTCGGTTCTTCTTAGCTCAAAAACACTGAACTGACAGTAGATTTGACATACATAAGAAGCTCATATCTACACAACAAGCTGAACTGCTCTAAATCCGTTTCAGACAAAGAATGTTTATACCCGATTGGCTCGAGTTTATCATTTATTAAGTGTCATAGGACTACATGAATAAAAATATATTGATTTTAATTTAAAAACTGGAAGTAATTGTTGGAAAACAAAAATTGTGTGTGTGTCATTGTTTTTTGCCACTATATTTTATAAAATGTTCATTATACTAGTAACTTTAAGTTACATATAATGAACTTTTTATAAAATATATTCACTTTGTGTAAGCAACAATATGAGAACTTTAAAACATGATTCTTATTTGTAAACATTTTTTAATCCCATCCTAACTCATAATAGTAACGATAGCTGTTTGTGTGCAGATATCCAGTATACATCCGCAGCCCACCGCGGCCTAACGGGTTCACGAACCGAGCGGACCCCATGACCGGCATCCGGCGATTGTTCACCGGGCGGCACTGCGCCGACGAGATCTGCTGTCTCGCGCGCATCGAGCTGGCCGCCCTCGATCAGATCATAGAGGAAGATCCCAATGTGGCCATCATATGGAGGTAGACATACCAATATACTCTTACTCTTAATACACTTATATGATGACGTCACTCGCTAAGGTTAATGTTATTTCTTTTCGATTACTAAGCTAGTATGTTATAGTGTTGAAGTATGATGGCCTGAATGCAGAATTAATATAGAAATAATTCGTATTCAATATTATTTGATATATCCGCCGTTTAATCTCAGTTTAACGTTCTGTAGGTATGTAACAGTTCATTACTTATTATACTAATAGTCCGCGAGCCAGAGGCTCCTTTCGTCAGTTATTTCCTCTCAGTTGATAACTTTTAAGATAGTCCATTTTTTTACACGTTCGTGCTATCAGCTTACGTATATAGTATACACCATACTACAGCCAACCGACTATTTTGTATCTTCAATATATCGGTTTATGATTTGATAGTAATTTGAACAGGAAGTAAATGACTGAAATTTAATTTTCACATATTTGTGAGAGTGTACGTGCTCAAACCACACTTGAAATCTCAGCTGACTTTCACCAAACTTAATAACTATCTTAGTAGTTTTAGACTGGGATGAAATTAGTTTCTTTGATCTGTTTATGACTGGCGGACCATAAATCGGATTATTGTCAGATAAATACATACCTATAATTGTATTATACAAATATTTGTACAATAGTTCAGAATAATTAGCATTTATTGTCACAAAATTATATGAGTTATCATAATGCCTGTTTAATACCTGGTATTTACGATTCAAAGCCTATTTATGTAATTTGCGTGTACTATTGTAGTATTACAAAAGGAAATTGTTTAGCTTTGAATAGAGCTACATATATCTAATTATAATGTACTATTATGCTACATAGTCCAGTCTGTAAGTAATATGAGTATTATTATGCTAGTGTTTTTTAATTAACATTGATTGACATTGCAAATCACTATTGTTAGGAGAGTGATATGGTAGTTAATGCTCGCGGGGTACTTGTTTTATAAATCTGAACCCACAAGCGTCAGCGTCAACATTGTATAATTGCTCTAAACAGAATTTTACATTTGGATGTCCCACAATTTATCTCAGAATAATATTTATAGGTATCTGACTGTGTTACAATTGTAATGAATATATGTAAAGTATTATTAGCATTAAATGATGATTTTTGTACATATTACAATATAATCCCGAGTTTGTAGTATGCACCATACTATGGTAGGTATTGTTATACACATCTATAACATTGGCTAATGTTTTAATTAATTTAACAAGTATGTACATTTTTATTTGGCATTCACGTGCTTTCTAGTAAATAACGTGCATAATATGGTAACACTGTATTTATAGTACCATACACGGCATTTATGTTTAATATTGATATGTAATCGTAATATAATGCTGATATAGTGGGATGTAGCAATAGGAATTCTTAATTATAAGATTACTTGCTGCCCGTCCCGTTTTTGCTTTGAGTGTACTGTACTTACTCGTCGATTAATTTATTAAATTTGAATATGCTGAAAATTTTGTGTTAGGTATTCCATTTTATGTACTCTAATGTAATGAAAGTAGTGTATTACGCAGCTAGCTGCGGTTCGTCAGTAGCAAATAGCGAACATTGCACTGGCGACTGCTGGATGGCGACTTGTCTTCTTACAAGGAGACAACCATGGAACCTGGAGGAACGGTGCACTTTCCTCGTCGTCAACAACAATTGTAGCGACCATCTCCACAAATTTGACAACCTGCTTGTACCATGCAAGAGCTAATGAAGAACTGTGTCAACCTCTAGAAATACGACTATTTATACTAGAAATATTACATGACACACACAATGCAGTAAATTCTATGGAATCTTTGACAAAGTAAATATTTTTTTTCAAAACACTGTTCTAAAAGTTATGCCAATCTTCGAAAACCAACAGTATCTCTGCACCGGTGGTACCGTTGGGGAGTGCCAAGGAGAGGAAAGTTTGAGGAGTCCCCACAAATATCACAGTAATGGAACCATGGAATCTATGCCATCCAAAATATATATATATGCACATACGCCGCATACTGGTTTGTTACTTATTATTATATGCTAGTTTGAAGCGGTTCTCTGGTATAACATTTAGATATTATATTATACTATATTACTCCTTATATATAATTTCGTATAATCTTTTTAATATTACTGCCCAACTAAACCACGAACAATTTATATTTTTGATCTTTGCAGCGATTGAAATATTTACTTTTCTTGTTATTAAGAATATAATTAAATGACCATTCTTTACAATTATATTAATTGTCACTGTTGCAAGAAGAAGAGTCCAAGTTGTTCGTGATAGTACCCCAATAGAAGAAAACAATGTATGGCCAATAAATAATTTCCTCCAAGGACCTCACTGCATTTTTAAGCCATTTTAATAGTAATTAAATATAGAATTTTTATTAACATTCTTCGCATCCTATTTAAAAATTATGCCTAGTCTAGTTTTCGAAATACCTCAAGTCAAAGATTACTTATTTTTTAATTGACTCACTCAATTTAGCATTGAACAGTCATCATAATCATAGTACTTCCCGTAGAGATAGAAATTTGAAATAAGTGATTTATATAGAATTTAATTTATTTAAATTTATACATTGTGAATATTCACACTTGCGCACTTAACTAAAACTGTTCACTGACAAAACTCGACTAACCGCGGTACACAGAGAGGTATACAAGCTAGCTAATGGTTATACAAGGATCTCCTTGTTGCAGATTTCAAAAATATCCTACTCACAAACACCTAATGGTTGATTAATCAGAGATAAAGGCAATTAAAGACAGGCCAACGTTTACTACGTGCCTAATGTTAGATTTTTACATGTGTTTTCTAGTTGTTGGACTTCGTCCAATTAAAATAACCGAAAATTTATTAAAATTACATGATTAAAGATACAAGGAAAAAATACCTATGATGATCGCTTTAAAGAAACTTACAAAGAACAGTCAACTTCAATCAACTTTTATATTTCTTAAACTTCTTAAAAGTTGATTATACTATATTACAAAAAAAACTTATATTTTTATATTGAACAACATGCAGCGTAATCTGTTTCTATATTTTTCTAAATTATTACTGAACTTTCAGAATATTTAATTTTAAAATTCTTATTATGTACTGGAATAATTTATACTAGTTGCAATACTATCGCTTTATTGATTTGCACTCGATAGCATGAATCCTATCTTTACTATGCTTCATACAAGTTCCCATTAAGTAATGTACGATTAAAATAGCGATAATTTAAGAATGTCTCTGAGGGCGGCCGTAACATGCATTAGTTAAAGTAGTCAGACATAAAGATGCCATTGGATGCTAGCGGAGAAGCCGATGGAGAATTCATTACCTTAATGATATCTAAAGGGACAAGTAAGGTACACGGGGTTAGTTACAAAGAATCGAGGGTTGCTATTATTCTGTACACAATGACTACATATACTATTGTTTTAAACGCGTCAGATACACCTAAACTCACAAAATCAGATATGAATACCCAAATTTAGACTATACGTATACAAATTTAGATTAAATTTCACTAAGAGTTTTTTGTGAGTAATGAAGTAAAACTAGTTTATCGAATTACGTTTTATTTTGCCGAAGGCCATTTAATTACTTAACGGATTTATATTATTTTATTTAATTCAGTGGTAAGCAGTAGATAAACTGCTTAAATAAATTTCCTATATGAGAACTGAATGAACTTCACAGTTATAGTGCAAAAGGTCTATTTTTATATATTTTTTTTTTATGTTTGTAAAGGCCTCCTCCTCAACCCACCCTCATCACTTATCTTTATTTTTTTTAGATTTAGTATTGTTCTATATTTTTTTATTATGCATATTTGTGCATAAATATTTATATTCTAGACCCCATTGCACTAAGGTGTAATGTTATTCTCCCGCACCCCACCGAGAAACGGAGGGCTAAGAGGGGATAGAAGAGAAAGTGGTATCTGAAAGGTACACTTACGAATGTTGCTCATCCATTAGCAAGTCCTTGGGTGTGAGCAGTCCGTAAGGAGGTTAGCGTGATGCTATATTATATATCAGGTAGTGTGGAGTTCTGGTAATATAATGCAGCATGCTCGTCACAAACTTCACCGAATGGACCTTGAGGGAACGTTTGATCTCTCAAGACTCCGGACTTGTCATGCCACTCCCAAAGGACGGATGATCGTTGTTTCCCAATTAGTGGTACGCTTACCCCTATGGGTACGTGAAGTTGTATCAAGGGGTACATACGGCTATCAGTAAAAACAAGAACAATTTCTAAAATATTATTTTATAACGATCATCATCGTAAAAACACGGAGCACCGAGCACTATGACCGACCGTGCGCTATCCAGCGCTTGCATCTCGTCATTTGGCCGCCCCCGCCACCTGTCACCCATTCCCGCTTCCCGCCAGTTCGGCTTTTATAATATCAGTGTGATTGTTACAATAAGGGGTACGCAAGTTTTGAGGTCTTTTTTGAAGTGATACGAAGCAAAAACTAATTGGGAACCACTGATATAGATTTGTAAATTGATTATACCGCCACGTTGGTGTAAATTGAGACTCAGCTCTGAACGCTTGCAGGAGTTCAGTAAATGTATGTATATTGTACTTATTGACTGGTGACTATTTATCATTATTAAATGTTTTAGTAAAAATGTACTTGTATTAATATTGGATAATCCTTCGTATATATGAAGTTATACTTAAAATTTGAAACTCAGTGTAACTGGTACAGTGATACTTATTTTCCAGTGAAACTTTTCTGGACACTTTTTTATCGTTTATATTAAATTATGTACTATATAGTGAGACTAGAGCTGTGAATGCGATTTGGTATATTGCTTAATTAGAAAATATTTTGGCTTAAAATGTATTTTTGTCGTAATTGTTAATAACAGTGTGTATATAGGGCAGGCGGTAGCATTTATTAACACTAGCCATGTAGACGTGTAGTCGTATAAAACATAAAATATGCATAATAAAATTCATAACCAATGTAAACGTACCTTTAGTCATGTAAATCTCAACGCTAGGCTCTTTTTTCACCATTTTGTCCATAAGGTAGATTAATTAGTCAGTTAATCTACGACTATACCTATAGACAAAATGGCGAACCTGATGACGAGGTTTACAATGTATGGAATTTACGTCGTGGCCATTTCAATGTGAACGCATGCGAGATCGGGTTTGACAGTATTATATATTCGTGTGAAGAACATACTTATTATTTATTTTAGTACAAAGTACCGTAAGTAAGTCCGGTACGCTATTCTCATTTTTCTATGCCTGTACTGTGCAGTAAAGTTATTGGTTTTACGACATTATATTCATAATGCAATTGTACGTTATCGTTCGGGATTCACCGCACTTAGTGCTTCTATCTTAAGCAAATTGGCGAAAACGCGCCTCTTCCAGTAAGCAGTATTCGGCAACTACATAAACGTTGGCAATATAGTCGTGTTCGTTAATGAAAAAATCGAGTTGCTGTTTTCAAATGCCATTGAACATTGGTACACCATTGAACTGATAAAACATTTTCTAAAAAATTGAAATCTAAGGTAGTATATAATTTTCAACTTTTTCCTACATCGTTTGTAGCGTCAAGTGACTATTGTACTGGATGTATTAAACTCGTCCAATTTAGTATATACGTATTTTTTTTTTTTTAATATAATATTTTATTGTATAATTTCCATCAGTAATCGAACTGATATGCATTCTCAATCTGCGTCAAAAAATGTTACTGCACAGCGGCAACTAGTGTTAGTTGAGCGGTATTTTCAATATGTAATGCGAATATCTAGATTGGTTAGTAAGTCATACTCACTGTAAGTAATATTGAAGTTATATAAACTGATTAATAAAAAATATACATGTATGTATTTATTAGTTAAGTAGTATTTTTAACATGTAGTTCGAATATCCACATTAGTCTATATGTCATACATGAGTAGTCGTGCAGTTTGATTAACTAAAAATATGTATGCTTACTTATTTGTTAGTATTTTAACATGTACTCCGAATATGTTTATTAGTCGGTAAGTCATATTCATTATGAGTAATCGTGCAGTTAGATAAACTGTATTTGTATTTTATTTTTATTTACGAAGGTGCGTCTTTAAGTTCACGGAATGAGAGGGTTGTGGGAGGTGATTAGGCTCGTTAGAATTAAAATGTATTCAGTGACTCATAATTAGTATAAATGCGAGATTTCTTTGTTATTTGACTATTAGTCTTTGAGTTATCGTCAACCAAGCAACATAGTCGGGAGTGAAAAGTAAAATATGAAAAAAAATAGTATATTCTGCCGTTATAAATTTCCTTACAAAGCACAACCATAATGAATGAGATGTCATTGGTTTACGGCTACTCTTGTGTTGTCAGGGAAAAACCATGGTGTCAAGTGGGACAGTTTATTTAAGCAAACAAGAATGAAGAAGACTGTAGACCACCCGCGGTCGGACAGGAAAATCGAGGTGACCACGCCAGAACTTATTAAAAAAATAGCAGAAATTGTACTCGACGATACTCGACTAAAGAAGAAACAACTCGCAGAAATGGTTGAAGTATCCTATACAACCATTTTAAAAATTCTGCACCAACATTTTGGCATGACTAAGACCATCGCAAGATGGGTGCAGAGAATGCTCACGCCGCCGCAAAAACAATAGCGGGTAGAGTATTCACATGCATTTTTAGACCTCAGTAATGAAGACATGGATGCTGTATTGAGTCGAATTAATACTAGAGATCAACTTGGATTCATCATTATGAACCTGAGTGGAAACAATACTCCATGCAGTGGAGTAAAAAGGGCACAGCACTTCCCAAGAAGTTTAAGGTTTCACAGTCAGCTGGGAAACTCATGCCAACGGTCTTTTGGGACACGGAAGAAATAGTATTGATCGATTATAAACATAAAGGTGTTTCTATAACCGGAGAATACTAAGCTACGCTTCAATAATAGAGCGACGAAACTTAACCACCCACCCTACAGCCCAATACTAGCCCCGTGAGATTATTACCTGTTTTCAAAAATGAAAATGCGGGGGCGGTGCTAAATTTTTACCACCACCGATGATGAATTCA